CTAGAAATGGATAACTGCAAGCTGACACCACACTTTAGAAGAGCAGATGGTCAATCAGAGAACAAAAGCAAAACCTTCATTACAAACTCAATCATACCCTTATCAGCAAATTGCAAACCTCGTTTTCACCTCACAAATTCATCAAAAATAAAAATAAAAATAAAAATACAATTAACAGGTATAGTACTATTTCATTCTGTATGAGCACTGCACATGATGCATGTATGAAGGGTCCAGTATGTAATCTAGGTAGTTGTAATGATTAGGCCTCAAGAAAATTGTAACAAAATACTCAGTAATGAACAGGATTGGCAGGTATATTTTGATAATACAACAATACATAAAGTGAAAGTTAAAGCAATGTTCAATTTATTTTCCTAGCAAATCACAACCTGGGATTAAGACACAGGTGCTTACATTCGCCCTGCAGTGCATCATTTAATAGTTACAATGATGATGAGAGCTTCATTCTAATTCCTCATGATCCTCCTAGAAAACCAGCAGCAGCAACAGCAGCATTAGCTGCAGAAGTCTGAGAGAACAATTTCCTGTACAGTGAACTCTTAAGTGGTAGAATGGGGAAACTCTAAACACCTGCATCCATTTTGCAACAATTTGTTCTTCATGATCCCCTTTGTAGGTTGCAAGTTCAAGATCAAATAGCATAAATCCGATCAACCTCAGAGTTGGAGAATTCAGAATGATGCCATGAGTTAGATCCACTCCTCCTGGCTAGCTGCTTCTCCTTCTTCCTCATTGACCTGCTTCTCTTAGATCTCACTACATAGAAAGTCATGGTGCCAATAACTCCAGAAATTATCACCCCTCCTACTAATGTAACAAGAATAGCAGCCCACCTATTCTTCCTACCCACAACTATGTAAGAAGAAGCAATAAATGCCACTGAAGTGCAAACAGAAGCCAGCCACATGAGCTTGTTGATGACCTCCACCACCCTTTTCTCTGCTTTAGTTTCACCTCTAACCAAGGTGATTTGAACAACCACCACGGCCAAAGATGTAAAAAGTGCAATAGCATTAAAGATGAAGAAGATTTTAAAAGCAGCATAAGCTGCTACCACCGCTGAGCCATCATTGTTATCACCACCAGGCACAGTGAATATAGCAGCAAAAGCAACTGTAGCAAACAACACTGCCACCACTGTTACTGAGTTTGTGGCATTGTTGATTCCTTCCCTATGAAGCTTCCTTAACTCTTTGGAAATATTATGAACATTTTTGTTGGTTCTCTTGGTTTGTTCAAGTTGCGTGTGAACATCTTTCTTGATTTGAGTAACAGTTTTCCTCAGTTCATCCCTTGGTTGGTTGAGCTCGTTAGCTCTGAGTGCTCCGTATCGAGAAAGACATTCTTTAATATCTGATGCCTCTTCACAGAGTGGAAGGCTTTCAACAATGTCAAGAGCTGTTTTGTGGTCTCTGGTTAATGCATTAACATTGGTGTCTGGCAGATGTAATAACTCATTCACTATCTGTGCAGGGAATTGAGAAACCATAGTATTAGATTTTCATTTGAGGAACTTAGACGGCTGATTAAAAATATACAGGGGATTTGCATGGTTTTATAAAGAAAAATTCAAAGACAAAAAGGATCAAAACTTCTGGACAAATGTAAGTTCAACCATACCAAGTTACCACCTTCGTTTAGATGTTTAGTTGCATTTATATAATATTATGGAAAATCTATAAGTGGTAAGCCAAAATTAGGAAAGAAAACATTATTACATTACATTGGAAATTCAAAAAGTTATAATGTTTCCTTTTTGAATAAAAACTCATCACATTTAGACAGTTAAAAGCAGCATTTAGTAACCCAGGTATACAACAAGAGATATTTAGCCATTTGGTGAGAGCCCCCCATCAGTTCTAACAACTTCATTTAAATGGCCTCATCTATACTGATATGGTGCTTGTAATGCTATGAAACTGTTGACATACCTCTACTCGTTTTTTCCTGGTTGCCACATGTAATGCTGTGTTACCAAATTTGTCAGGAAGCATAACAATGGCAGCATCTGCATCAAGAAGTAACTTTACCACGTCACAACTCTGCCCTTTTACAGCCATGTGCAATGCAGTTTGCCCTTTCTTGTCAGTCCTTCGAGCCAACTGTGGATCTTTACTGAGCAAGGCTTTCACAATCTCCACATGGCCCTGACGAGCTGCCAAATGCAAAGCATTTTTGCCATTGGATCTAGCAATCTCCAACAAGCTACAATCCTTCGACAGCAGCTCATTCACCACTTCCGTGTGTCCTCTTGTCGCTGCAGTTATAAGTGGAGTCGAATTGGATGGACCAATAGTTTTGCTCAATCCCGGGTCATAATCTAGCAAAACCTGAACAATCGCTGCAAACCAAAATACACCATGAATAACATGGAAGAATAGAAAACCAAACACACATTGCACTACATC